ACTGACCAAGAATTGAGCCGGGGGAATTTTGGGTTTAACAAACAACGTTCTTGTTTTTCAAATATTTTGTTTCACAAAAAGAAACTTCATTTCCAGATAATAACTCCTTTTAAATGTGACGCTGAATTGTAATAATATTTGGTCATCATAAAATAAAGGTTGAATTTTTGATTTCTTACCACTGATAATATAAGCGCTAGATTTTTGCCGTTTGTAAACTTTACTTTGAATAAAAAATTTGAATTTTTTGGGTTATTGTTTTTTCTACCATGTCCTTAACAACCATTGGGAACATTATTTCAAGTAAACCAGACTAAACTTGATCTTCATTCATAATTGTCCCAAATCAAATGTCTAAACTTTCTTACAAGTTTTTCTATTAGTGGCCCTTCAAACATTTTTTTTTGAATGGCTTTTCCAAAATTTGAACTTTAAAATTTTTCAGGATAACGTTCAAGAAAAACCAGGACATTAACCTTCATTAATGACTTTAAGGCTAAAAATGAAATTTTTATTTTTTGCTTGTAACTTGTCTATAACTTTTATATAATTGAATGGATTTAACTTATATCAAGATTCTTCCAGGATAAGATCAACATATCAAACTCAAAGACCTGGTTTCTTTTAACCTTTGGCATTGAAAAGGTTAAAATTATCTTATTTTCACTGGTCTTCATTATTTTAACTGTAACTGAGTATTTTGAATTATCTTCAATTGGGATAAAAACGAATCCCTTGGATAAAACCCCTTTGCAAAAAGTTTTAAACTGACCCTGGATTTAAATGAACAATGGATTATTTTAAGTCATATTGAGAACACATTTTTAGGCCAGGACCTTGGACGGTTCAAATTGGATGAACTTGTTAGCTAATTTTGGCCCCGTCCTGCAAAAATGGCCCCTTGCTTCTGTTTTTTAACAGAAAACATGGCTTCTTAAAAAAGCTCTTTGTAATAATTGTTTTTACACAGATGAAAACAGTAAAATGCAGATAGATTCAAATTTTAGCTTAGGAAGTGTCTGTTTATTGGGAAGGATTTGAAAATAACCTTTAGCAAATGTTTTATTTAAATTAAAGAAAAACTTTTTTCTCATTTTCAAATTGTTCCTATTATGCTTTACCTTTATTAATCAACTTTCACATTTGATATTTCATATTAAGTTATTGTACAAACATTTTGTCTTTGAATAGTTTATAAAGTTACTAAAACTAGGGGTTTGTTTATAAAAATATCACTTATATTTCACAAACTTTTTTTTTTTTTCAAATATAACATAAAAAATTTCAAAAAATCTGCCTGGGGGACGAAGACCTGGTAGTCCCTGTTGCACTTGGTACCTTTCTCAAATGGACGCACGCAGCAATAGGGGGACAACCCTACGTACCCCCAGCACCCCAAGTCTCTTCCGTGCTGGCCAGAGGTGAAATTCATATAGGCTGAATACCGCATTTTTTGTTTGCATTTTCCACCATCGGCCACTTTCCTGGGAACATGTCTGAGTAAAAATCCTGACCAAGAAACCAGATTGGGGGGTAGCACAAACCTCTCCCTTTTCCGGCAAGACAAATGATTTAAAAATATTTCTTTTGCGTGGGAAACTACCGCCCCCGCCCAAACCCCCAAAACAAAGAGGGGACAAAAGTGGGGGGGTCGAAAGTGCTTGTTTTTCCGTATATATGGGGAAAGGGGAATTAACATAAAATAAAAGTTATTCTTGGTTTCAGTGTTATTTATTCAAACCCAGGGTGAATATATAAAAATACTTTACTGAAAAACTTAAAAATTTTTTTCCTAAAAAAAAAACTGGGACGGGAAAGTATCGGGGTAAAATCTAGACGGGAATTTTAAACTGCATAATTAGCAATACTTTACTTTATACTACCCCCTTATACTGAGCAGCTTCTTTACAATGCAACCCATTAAATGCATTAAAAAATTAAATTCACTGTTCAGTAACAAAAAAAATTTGAAACTTTCCCTTTAATTTATTTTTTTACTGTACTTTGAATACCCCGAAAAAGTTTTTAAACTTCTATGCTACCATTTAAAAGCTCTTTTTTTTACCCCGGGGCATATAGAAATTAAACCGTCCGTCGTCCGTTCTTTCCCAATTTTTTTTTTTAAAGGGCCATGCAAACCAAAAAATCTTGTCACCCATGCTTGTAGCCCCAATAGTAAATTTAAAATATAGTATCCCCTAAATTACACCCAAAAGCCCCAAAAATAAAAGGTCCAAAAAAGATTTTTTAACAAATAAAAAAATTTTTGGACTGCAAAAATTTTTAAAATCAATTAGATCTAAATACTTAAAGAAAAATCAAAAATTTTCGCATTTTAAAAAGTCTCATTTAGATCAAATAAAAATTTTTGGAGAATTTTGGGCCCTCCCAACTTTCAATCAGAACAACACATCATTAAACTTTTTTTTTAAAAGCAATTACAAAAATATTTTTATCATTTCATTTTGCAAACCCTTTACTTTTATTTACTTTTTTGGTTTCCCGTTTTTTTCCCCTTTTCGGGGCCTCTTTCAGTATTTCTGTAAAAAATCCCCACAAAAACGAAATTTTAGTGGCTCATTCTACATCAATTGATAGATTTAAAAAACAAAATAAAATTAAGAAAAAATTTATAAAAATTTTTATGGTTTCCAAAACATACTTTTAAACAGGGAAAAAAATTTTACTACCCTGCTATTTGACGCCAGTTTTTTGATTTCGGGATTTATCTTCGAATTTTACCCAAATTTGACGAAGCAGGCTTCTTATGCATACACTTTTTTTATTTTCGATTTCCCACAAAAAGGGCCAAAATTTTTACGCTCAAAAAAACCACATTTTAATCTTTGGGAAGCAAAAAAAATGGGGAAGAGTTCCAAAAAAATTTGCTTTTATAAGGAATTTTTTTTATATTTTTTTAAAAATGTATTTAATGTTGTTTTAAAGGAAATTGCTTTTAAATTGTTTTTACAAAAAGGGAAAAAATTTGGCCAAGCCAAGAATTGTGGTCCCTACCTAAAAAAGTCAAGTTCCACTTTAGATTAAGTGATAAATAAATTTTTTATAAAGTACCCCAAAGTTTGTGTCCAACAACAATCCGTCTTTTCGGATATTTTTTTAAAAAATTGTTTTCCCAAAATTTTGGGGACAAAATGCATGTCGACCCACAAAATTTTAAGGGTTTCTATTTCCCAAAGGGTTCTAGGCTTTACTTGTAGATAAAAAAGGTCATAACTTTTTCAAAAAACTGTTAAAATTTAAGTGTTTTTTTTTTTAAAAATAAAAACGTTTGTTTGTTTTCGGGGGTCAACAATTTTCTTTCCGGGAGGGAAATTTCCCAAAAATGATTTTTCCCAAAAATTTTTTACTTTAATGACGTTGTTGTGACCCTTGAATCATCCCTCCCCAAAAGGGGTAAAGGGTCTTGCTTTTAATTGAATTTTTGTAAAGACATATTTCATTCGGGTTTTAAAAAAATTCTGTTCTTTAATGTCTTTGACTTTAATGAAAACCCACATCAAAAAGAAAAAAAATTTGGGTCCCAAACCCTCAAAGTCAAGGTCAAAACTTGTATTCAAAAGTCTTTGATTATATGAATTTTTTCCCAATTAAAGCATTGATATTGTGTCGGGCCAAAAAATTTTGCTATTTCTGAGGGATTTAAAAAAATTTTGGCATAAATTGAAAAGACAGGATGATGTGTCACACATGGGGGCCATTTCCCCCATTTTCGGGGGAAAAGGTCACACTTTTCTTAAAACTTGACAATTTTAAAAAATTTTGTCTTTTTTGTGCATAAATTTGTCTTTCATGTTTTGGTTTTTGGAAAAAATTATGCTGCTTTTTAAAAGATTAATATGAACAAAAATTTACCCAATTTTATCCTTGAATGTAAAGATTTCCCTGATTATGACAATGTTTTGTTTAGTCATGCCCAGTTCATGCTTTTTGTCATTCATTTTGTAATAAATTGGTTTAAAGTTAAGGTTCTTTAATCAATTTCTGATGAGTTTATAGCTTAGAGATCAAGGACAAGCTAGGACATTCAACCTTTATAATGTTTTTAAATAATTGGGCTAACTGAAAATATGAGAAAATATTTGGTAATGTTTCTATATTATTGAAACAGTCTTTTTATAGTAACCAAGTCCAGGTCATGGTCCCTCTACTTGGCCCTGCTTGGAGGGCATTTGTCTGTTTCCAATGACAGTTCTTGTTTTAGTAGTTTTACTTGAGGGAAATTATTTTATAGGGAAATATAGATTTTTAGGGGGGTAAAAAAGTTTTAAAAAACCCTGCTTACCAATGAAGTTTTCTCATTAGACTGGTTGAACTACTGTGATCATAGTTAGTCCCCAAACCATGTCACAATTTCAAGTTCCTGCCATCAATGTTCTATAAGCAATATGCCTGTTATATCTGACCCAAAACTACTCAACCAGGATATTTGTTGAGAACATACATATCATAATATTGTAAACATTTACATTAGTAAGGCATTTAAAAACCTGCGATTAATTCATTAGAATCTCTAAATCTACTGTGTTTTGAGATAGGGAAACAGCTAATTTTGTCTCTCAAGCAAAAAATACCTGCAATTATCTTGGGTTGTTGAGCTTCAAAGACCTGAAAATCCTAATAAATTTTATATTTATCAATCCCCGTATGTAAAACTTTATAATATTAATGCACTGTTCGTAAAAAAATTCATATTTCAGCATTTGAACCTCCACACCCCATGTGTCTATGGCAGTAATAGGGTTACTGAAACACATTAAAAACAACAAATGTCTACAAATATTTTATAAATTATGCAGTTGGGGGTATAAGATGACACACCAAATGTGAAGTAATTACTTATGTCTGCATTTAAGAATGTGACTTTTTCTAGCAATGTATTAGGTGAGGGATCCAGTGCTATCATGGCCCTCTTGTTTTTTTGCTTTCTTAAGGAACATGTGCTCAAGAGTTATGAAAACCTTTTCTTCTATTTCAGAACAATGAACAGTATGCCTTGTTTGAGACGCACACTGTATTACACCTTGAGAGAGGTTAAAGTTCACCCAAACATTGATATGTATAGTCAGTTATTTCACAGATTAAGACATTTGTCAGGAAGTGGATTTCGGGCATGTTCATCAAAAGTTTTTGACTTAAATCAAGTTGCAAGATCAAATAGAGAAAAAAGTTCATTAGATGGTGTTAAAAGGTCCATATCTCAGAAAGTTGTTAAGAAATCAAAGGCAAAAGCCATTAAGGAGGAAGTTACACAAACGCCAGAAGATGAATTGGAGATTCCGGACTGGTTTAGTACAGTAATGGAATTACCATTTTATGCACAGGAGGAGATTGATAGTTCAAACCATGCACAGTTTAAAGAGTTTGTTGAAGGCCTAGATATAACATATTTACCATCAGTGAGCACAGTAATTAAGCAAACAGAATCAAAATCCTCACAGACTGTTCTAAAAAGATGGAAAGCTTCAAAGATAAAAGAGCTTGGCAGCGAAGAGCAATTTGAAAAATATCATCAAGGTAAATACAGTAAAAACCCTCTCTTGAGACCATCAATGGTACTGAACAAAGAGGTCTTACAGGGATTTTTTGGGCTTATTCATAACTGATATCCAGTCATATTCCAACTGAAAATAGTATATTAAAAATTTTCCCAATCCACAGGAAAAAATTCCCAATTGAAAGTTACAAAATTAAAATATTCAATAACAAAATTAAAATATTCAATAACAAATTCTAAAATCTTTGAAAAAAGGGCTTCTTCACTGTAATGATGCTTAAATGTTAGAAGATGCCATCTTAGACAGTGATTCTTTGCATTCATTTAATCACTGCAAAATTTAAGTCATGCATTTTTCCCCCAATTTTTAATAAAACATTGCCGAAATTCCAAAATTCCATTGGTATGGGTCATCATCCGGTCATGTTCCCAAAATCCTGGTTATTTTTAGGGTGGTCACATTAGTATATATTATTTTCAAGGCTAATCATACCACAGTCTATTTTGGTCTTTTTGTATGAACATGTTCAAACAATATGTACCTGTTTATGAGATATTTGAGGACCTTGCCTTATTTATTTGTTACCATAGTTAGTATTCAGTCCAATTTAAGTTCATTATTTTTAACTCTGTTGATTTCTATCAGTTATGTCTTATTAGCTTGAGCAGGTGAGGTGGTTTTGACCCCTGGTGTTGCTTTAAGTTTGTAACATCCGAGGTTAGCCAAAATCATCCTTCCTATTTCGTCGCCATATGACCTAAATTGTGTTGGTGTGCCATAAAACAGAACAAAACAAAATGAAATCTTCATTTTTTCAATTTATTGATTTAAGTGTAAAATGGCATCAAGATTTTGGATAGGTAATTTTCCTTTTGAAAATGGGAAACTTAATTTTAGAATTCATGAATACACTCTGAATGTTTATAAAATTTTAGAGAACAGACTAAGTGTCAAATGTATTTTTGTTCAACAGGTATAATAAATGATGGACTCAATCTCCACAAGTGTATAGAGATGACCTTGAAAGATGAGGAAGATGTCAAGGTCAAGGGCTCACATGAAGGTCACTGGGAAAGTGTTAAAGCAGTGTTGGGAGATGTTAAGAATGTGAAAAGCCTGGAGAGTGATTGTGTTCACCCAGAAGTGTTCTATAGAGGAAAATTTGACTGTATTGCTGAATTTAGGTAAATGATAACACAGCTTTTATATAACCTTTCGTCCGTCCGTCTCCATTTTCGTGTCCGCTCTATAACTCCTATACCACTTGAAGGATTTTATTCAAACTTGGCTCAGATGTTTACCTCAGCAAGGGGATGTGCAGAACCCATGTTGCCCATGTGTCAGCTCAAGGTCAAGGTCACAATTGAAGGTCAAATATCAAACACAATCAAATATTAGTATGTCGTGTCCGCTCTGTAAGTCCTACAGTAATTGAAAGATTTTCTTCAAACTTGGCTCAAATGTTCACCTCAACAAGGGGATGTGCAGAACCCATGTTGCCCATGTGTCAGCTTAAGGTCAAGGTCACAATTGAAGGTCAAATATCAAACAATGAAATATTACACAATATGTTGTGTCCGCTCTATAAGTCCTACACTAATTGAAGGATTTTCTTCAAACTTGGCTCAAATGTTCACCTCAGCAAGGTTATGTGCAGAACCCATGTCACCCTTTTGCCGGCTTAAGGTCAAGGTCACACTTGAAGGTCAAAAATTGACTAAGAAAATGATCTTAAATTTTAACATATATCTGAATATTTCTGAATCTAGGAAAGGTATTTGCTTGAAACTTAAAATATATATGAAGTGTCACAATTAAGATATGCTGGTCAAGTTTCATAACTCTGTATTGCATTTTAACAAAGTTATGCCCCTTTTTAATCTTCAAATTTACATACAATCACATATTAGATAATATGTCATGTCCGCTCTATTAATCCTATACTAATGGAAGAATTTTCTTCAAACTTTACTCAAATGTTAACCTAAACAAGGTTATGTGCAGAATTCAAGTCACCTTTGTGCAGGCTAAAGGTCAAGGCCACACTTGAAGGTCAAAAATTGACTTAGAAAATGTTCTTAAAATTTAACATGTACTTGAATATTTCTGAAACTAACACAGGTATTTGCTTGAAACTTAAAAGATATATGAGGTGTCACAAATAAGATATGCAGGTCAAGTTTCATAACTCTGTATTACATTTTGACAAAGTTATGCCCTTTTTAAGTCTTTAAATTTACATACAATCAATACTAGTCAATATGTTGTGTCCACTCTATAAATTCTATACTAAGTAAAGGATTTTCTTCAAACTTTACTCAAATGTTCACCCCAATTGGGCAATGTGCAGAACCCATCTTACCCTTGTGCCAAGTTAAGGTCAGGGCCACACTTAAAAAGTCAAAAATTGACTTATAAAAAGTTTAGTATATTGGGAAAATGAAAGGTTATTTGTAACTGTTTCGAACATGATTTGATAATAGACATTTATACTATTACCTGTACAATTAGTGTTTTTTTCACCAGAGATAATTTCTTTTTATGTATTTGTGCAACTTAAGTTATTCCCTTAACCACCTTTCCAAGTCATCTTCTGTCAAGGACATTGGTGGGGGTATGAATCGCATTCAGCGATAGTTCTAGTTTATTTAAGAGTATTAAAAAGCGTTAAGCTAATATGTAGGTAATTATTTGGCTTGTAGCTAAGGGACTACATGTTGATGGTTCTATTCAATTGCCCACTTCAGCCTTAAACAATGTATGGATAAATTATTAATAATGCAAAATTGAAAATGTATCTGCAGATATATAGATATCTAGATAGAACTGACTTGAAATATGTTTTTTATAGCATTACAAGATGTATATGTCAGAACTCCATGCATGTTTGTAGGTGAAAAAGTATTTGTCACATATGTAACAGAGTTTCAATGATAATTTCAGGGACACGTTATGTTTGATTGAATGGAAGACCTCAAGCACCCTCAAGCCATTATTGAGTGCTACATATGATAACCCTCTACAAGTTGCTGCATATATGGGTGCTGTAAACAGAAGTGGAATTCTTAAGCAGTTAGATGTATGTAACTCAGAAGGAAATGGTTTACATTGATATAATAAATCCATAAATATAAAAAAATATTGAGGAAGGTTGTTGGTTCTCTCCACAGCTAACCAACTGCTTATCACAGAGCAATTATTATCTCCCTTGGCCGCCATTTTGGGGATCATTTCAAATATATCATATGCTTGAGATAATATAAAACTCTTTCATAACTCTATTACAGCTATCATCGGTTAGAAGCAATATCGATTTATCTTTGATATTTTTCTGTCGGTCAATAATCTATACACATTTAAAAAAAAAAAAAAAATTTTGACTAATTAATGTAGTCTATGAATTGTTATAATCAGGAACTGTCTTTTGGTTAAATCTGCTAGAATATCTATCTCTGTATTTAGCAGTATTGTTCAGACTGAAAAAAAATCAAACATGTTAAAATATATGTAGTATCATATATAATATAATTTATTTAACTTAATGTGAAATGGTCTGTTATGGAAGGTTTGTAATAACAAATACTATTACTTTATGTAATTCATTAGTACTAGATATTAGTTATATATCTCAGCTCATATATTGTTAAGCCTGCTGGTGGCAGCTGAATCTATCTGTGCCACAAGTTTGGTCCATGGTCTACACTGTTTCCTTATTCGTTAGTACAGATTTAGAACATTTTCCTTAAATATGATTAATGGTACTGTCGAGATTGAAAGATTGACAAGTCCATTTAAGATATTTAGTGAAGAAAGGACTTAATACAGTAAGTAGAAGTGGATACACTTGTTTCATTACATGTTTACAGATACCCAACGTGACTAATGGTGCTCTGGTGTTTGCCTACGGTACAGGTGAGCCAGCTACAGTTCATATGATGTCTCAGAAGATATGTGAGAAATACTGGAGGAAGTGGAAGCAGAGACTGTATCTTTACTGGGTCCAACAATACCAGAAATCTTTAGAGAATTGAAATAAGTATTGGTACACAGTCTGTTGAGTAGAATTGAGTGATTTTTATTGGCTGAAATGTACACCCCCAGCTTGATCTGACAGTTTGTTTTGAAATGATATATTGAAACAATCTTACTGGAATAAATTTTCCAGTTAAACAAAATCTTGTGATATGTGAAATGTCATTGGCGCTGTGATATATTAGATATCATACATTTTGTGTTGTGGACATTGACCATTGTTACGTGTGTATGGAGATAGACTGTTGATCACGATAAGTTCACTTCAATCAAGTAAAGGTACACACATTTGAACTATGATCTATTAGATGAGGCTAGGTAAGTGATCTAGAGATAGGCTTGTTTTATGTTGAACTGTTATGATATATTAGGTAGGATAATTTCCCAATAGTTTATACATTCCTAGTGTTCAATAAGAAAACAAAATCAGGATTTGGATCAATTAATCCTGATTTTGTTTTAATTCCTTAAAGCAGCATGCCTCCAGATTTGTGTTATTTTTTTTTATAGAAAATTAGAAATGTTGTATATTGTACAAATTAGGTTTAATGATTTAGCTTAAAATACAATTTGCGAAAATTACCACTTGTGACTGTCCAAAAAGAAAAAGCTGAAATTTCACTTGCTCAGCAAGTAAAGTTGTAGAGGTGACAAAAATTGTACATTCTGTCTCTAGATTTGAATATTAAATTCAAATTTTCACCTTGTTTGTGTGAATATTATACATTTGTTATAATATATTTATTAGTCCCCTACCGGTTTACCGGAGGGGACTTTAGGTTTACCCTCCGTCCGTCTGTCCGTCCGTCCGTCTGTCCGTCCGTCAGTCCGTCCGTCCACAAAACTGGATCCCGCGATAACGCAAAAAGTACTGAAAATATTTTAATGAAACTTGATATATGGATAGATGGCAGTATGGAGATTATGCACGTCTTTTTCTTTTCTTCCTATGTTGAAAATTCTGGTTGCTATGGCAACAAATAGACTGAAAATATGGCAAATTTTACACATAACCTGGATCCCGCGATAACGCAAAAAGTACTGAAAATATTTTAATGAAACTTGATATATGGATAGATGGCAGTATGGAGATTATGCACGTCTTTTTCTTTTCTTCCTATGTTGAAAATTCTGGTTGCTATGGCAACAAATAGACTGAAAATATGGCAAATTTTACACATAACCTGGATCCAGTGATAACACAAAAAGTACTGAAAATATGTTTATGAAACTTGACATATGGGTAGATGGCAGTATGGAAATTATGCACATTCTTTTTTATCTTCCTATGTTGAAAATTCTGGTTGCTATGGCAACAAATAGACTGAATTTCAAGATTTCTGATTCTAGTTTTTAAGTTTTTTCACTATAAGTTCTTTATTTCTTAAGGTATTTTCTTCAAACTTTAAATATAAGTTGCTTGTCATCAACCACATCATATGTGACAAGGTTTTACAACTCTAGCACAAAATTTATCAGAATTACCTCCCTTGAACTTAAAATTTTCATGAAAAAAACATTGTTTTTTTTAATAACTTCTTTTTCTGAATGTATCTACTTCAAACTTCATATAAATGTTTCTTATTGTCACTCAACATTTGTGAGTGTTCAATACTCTAGCAAGACTATTTCCAGAATTATGCCCCTTTTGAACTTAGACTTTTTTTTGAGAAATTGGTAATTTTTACTCCAACTTCTTCAATCATGATAGGATTTTAAAAATGTTATATTTTGATAACAGGGATGTTTAAAAAATAACTTTAGAGTGTCCTTCAGTCCGTCTGTCTGTCCTTCAGTCCTGTGATCACTTTTAAAGAACTTTTTCAACAAATTTACTTAAAATAGGAACCTAAGCGAATGGCCAATGGCCCTTCAGAATGTTGCTTGGGCTCTTACCGGTAGGGGACTTATGGATTGCTTGCAATACTATGATAATTGCTAGTTATAATTGTGATTTATTTTGGAGGTTTAGTTAACTCATCAGGAGGCATGCTACTTTAAGAATTAGGAAAAGTTAATTATTTGTTCAAATAAGGGCATTATTTGCTGTTGATATGTTAATAGTGCATGGTTATAAAAGTAGTTCTTTATAAAGGGTAATTTACACACCAACATACACTGCCAAGAAAGAGTAACTTATATGTACTTTACAATGTTTACTTTTTGCATTGTTTTGACTAGGCCATCCTTAAAAAAATGTTTGTTTGCAGTAACCCGACCCAGAATTTTCAAGGTGGGTAGGTAGGTCGATTTTTTTTTTTTTTTTTTTTTTCTGGTAACAATTAATAAATTAATAAATGAATTCTAATTAAATAATACCTACATTTTATTTCTTCTATTAACCTTTAAAAGAACAAATACAAAGCACAAGGCATAATTTTCTGATTAAAAAAAATAATTTTTTTTATCCAGACCATGAAAAAAACTTTTGAGTAGGGGCAAATTTTGTGAGTCGGTAGCGTTACTGCAAACAAACATTTTTTTAAGGATGGCCCTAAAGATGTGAATCACTTTTTATAATGTGATATTCTTTGGTCAAAAATAGTCTATTACATACTTGCAAAAATAAATAAACCTTGAAAATACTGCATTTTGAAATGTATAAGAGTATGTATAACAGTTTCTCTTTTAAAAATATTAGATGTTTTATTTTGCACTTTTAGTGTATGCTTTTTGAAGGCAGGGCTTTTTTTCCCTTCTGTAGCATGGACCGTTTACGAGCATCATGTCCCAAGTAAATTTTTTTTTTACATAATGCATTTACATTGAAATTTTTCTTTTCCTGTTTGCAAAAATACTGTTATATTGTCCAAATTAAAATCCTCTACTTGTGTAAAAAGCCCTGACAGGTTGAAAGTTTTGATTCATTTAGTTTTATACAATGTGTCCAATTCCTGGTGCTTTTCTTTGTATTTAAAACATTTTTTTTACAAAACTTATCATTTCTCCAAATTATAGCCAGTTTTAAGATGTGTTCATTATTTTAAGTGACCTTTAGAATAAAGACCTTTAGAATAAAACCTTAGTTTAAAAACAAAACAAAACAGTTTTATATTTTATGTCTTGCTTAATGTTTTCAATTATTTGCTCACATGTAAATGTGAGTTTGAATATAGTGTACTTTTGTGATTACTTGCCATCTGTGTAACTGAACATTATTATAAAGACTTAAGGTTAAAATTTAATTACAGGTATTTCTTGCCTAACTTTTTTCACTTATTTGTTCACCTGTTATCATAAACTTACATTTGGTCAGCTCTCAGTCTGTAATACTGGAATACTTGTACCAAATATATTTGTTCTTTAGCTTGGAACCCCCAGTTTATTGAGAAAAGAAATGCACAAGGTGAAATCAGATAATCTTTTTTTTTTCAACTTAAAGCTTATTTAAAGTGTTCATTATGTAGTGATGTTAAAGCTGCATGCCTCCAGATGAGCCAAAATATATCAAGAAAAGAAACTTAAGAAAAGTGTATCAAGAATTTTAAGAAAAGGCGAAAATATACAAGAATTGATTCAAGTAATAGTTTACATTTTATGTGCACTAAAATGTCTAATTTTGCAGTATCTATCACTGTGACCATATTTCTACTACAAGAACTAACTCAGTTATGACTATTTTTGCATATTTTAAACTTTTTTTTGTAATTTTACATGGATTCTAAGTGCTGTTTGTAATGTGTAAATTACACTTCTTTTTAGTTCAATTAACAATATTCTACTTTTAAATATATTTTCAAAAATTTTCAATGAAAATTTGCATAAAAACTTGAGGCATGCTGCTTTAATTAGAGCTTAGTTAAGTTAATCATATTTTATACTTTGTTTATTTTTTTTGTAATTATTAACTTGCCTGAAAACATGAATTTACATAATTATGTTGAGGAATTGTGATCATATGCAGTCTGTGTTAGTAGGAAACTTTGTCCATTGTAGTAGTAAAAGTACCTTTACTACAAGACCTTAGTTAAGTTAAACATATTTTATACCTAATTTATTGTTTGCAATTATTTACTCACCTGAAAATATAGATTTACATTTGGTGAGGTATTGTTATCTCATGCTATCTGTGTTACCAGAACAATATATATTTGCTAAAGTCTTTGCCATGGGACTCAGATTGTCAAGAAATACAGTGGGCAGAAAATTTAAAACTTAAACTCTAATGATCTTAAGTAACAAATATTGAACAGTGAAACGTTAAAGAATATTCATAATAGCAATGAAATATAAATGCTGCTTATATTGATTGATTGAGTTGAACCAGTTCAGGCCAGTATATCAATGAATCTTGTTTTAAATTTAAAAATGTAGTGGCCTTTGAGATATATATGGACCAATTGTAACTATATCTGACATGGGAGTAAGTAGAATACCCCATTGCAGTTCAAACTGTATCAAACAAAAAATTTGTTGTCTTACATGTTTAATAGGTACAGATGCACATAACTTAGTTGTTCCTCTAACCTTTTGGTGGAGTTTGGAGTCAATTTGGACCAGACCTGCCAATTATTGAGCAGTTTTCACTGTCCATGTTTCTAAGACATTCTTCATACTTAAATCAAGCTACATAGGAAATATAAAAATATATATCGAAATACTGCATGAAAAACACAGTTGAAATGGATCTTGTTTTACTTTGCGGGAATTTTTGTCACTTTTATTTTCCCTCCTGGACACTCCATTCCAACCGCATTTTGTCCTGAAGACTTCATCATTACAACATATATTTTGTGTCCTGAAGACTTCATCCTTACAACATTTATTTTGTGTTCTCAATACTTTGGATGAAAAACACAGTTAAAATGGCTGTTCTTCTTTGCAGGAATTTTTGTCACTCTTATTTCCCCTCCTGGACACTCCATTCCAACAGCATTTTGTCCTGAAGACTTCATCCTTACAACATTTCTTTTGTGTCCTGGAGACTTCATCCTTAAAACATTTATTTTGTGTTCTGAATACTGCATAAAAAACACAGTTAAAATGGTTGTTGTTCTAC